ACAGCAGATAAATGGATACATATACAAACACAATGGAATATTATTCAGCCTTAAAGAAGAAGGAAATCTTGTCCTGTGCTACGACATGGATGAACCTGGAGGACATTATGCTAAGTGAAATAAGCCAGTCACAGAAGGACAAATATTGCATGATTCCACCTATATGAGGTATTTAAAGTGGTCAGACTCATAGAAGTGGAAAGTAGAATGGTGGTTACAGGGGCTAGGGGGAGGGAGAAATGGAGAGTTGCTATTCAACGGATAAAGGGTTTCAGTCATACAAGATGAAAAGGTTCTAGAGATCTGCTGTACAACAATGTGCATATAGTTAACAATATTGTACTGAATACTTAAAAATTTCTTAAGAAGGTAGATTTCATGATATGTGTTCTTTATAACAAAAAATATGGAAGTAAATCATTCAGAAAACAGTTACTAAGAATATTTTAAAGTGTTTGAAGGCACGTGTGTTCAAAGGCATATGGCTAAAAGACTTGGACTTTAATGTTTTAAGTTAGAAGACAGACTTTTTAAGGTCAAAGAACCATGAAAATCTGATGATCCTCCCCCAGAAAGAATAAACATACCCCCAATATCAAACCATAAAGCCCAAGTTAAGAGCTCCATGTTAATTTTTTAAAATATGACTATGCAGTTTGACTATGATTCCTTAAGTATTAAAAATGCATAGATAAAAAGGCTAGAAGAAAATAGTCTTAAATACGACTAGATGTTGGGATTATGAATGATTTCTTTATAGTTTAATATTTAAAAAAATTATTTTTAGAATACCACTACAGAAGAAAAAAAACATATCTAAAACTGCTTGTAACAAACCAATAATTTAGTCTTTTTAGGAAACTTGTCAGAAAATGAAAATTTATCTTTAGCATCCTGAAGGAGTTAATGTAACATCCTTCAAACCAAAACTGTGTCTCTTCACAGGGAAAGATTTGCAATGTAGATGTAGTATACTAAGAGTATAGGGCACTAATGACAACTCAGATCTGTGTAGAGGGATGAATCACTGATAGAAATGCCCCCCTCCCACATAAATCTCGACATTGCTAAGGAAGAGCACGGTGGGTCAGGAATCATATTTGCAGGGAAAACAGAATCAAAAGCTAAAGCTAAAAATCCAATAAACTATAAAATACATAGATGAAAGTATAGAACTGAGATGAGCATAGCCCTTCGTTTGTCCAGCATCACATGAGTGAAATTTTCTGTAAAAAATGGAGAATACTCCCTTTAAATTCAAAGCTCCTATTTTAATCCCATCAAATGGAAAACATCCTCTAATGGTTTGGAGATTTGTCTCTCTGAACTGTGTACCTAGTTCTTGAAAATCAACAGCATCATTAAGATCCTAACACCCCTAGTTGCCCTCAAAGAAGGGTAAACAGTGAGTACATAATCAATGCAGTGTAGTGAGAGACCACAGAGGGGAGAGACTGATTCTGGGATGAGGGACCACAGAGGGGAGAGACTGATTCTGGGATGAGGAAAGTACAGGCTTCTTGGCGATGATTTGTAATAGCAGGGGTGAAAGACGAGTAGGATATCCTCAGAGGAAGCAAAGAGGGAAGGGGAGAAGAATGTTTCTGGAACAATGAACAGACTGTCAGAAGGAGCTGGAAAAAACGAAAAACAAGTTGGGTCAAACTATGAAGGGTCCTGAAGAACCACCCAAGGAGTTTATACCTTCTTCTGTAGGGCTGGGGACACAGCTGCAGTTCCTCAGGGGGGAGTAACACAATTTGATTTGTAATGAGAAGTCTGTGGGTTACTTCCTCCTTATAATCTGCCACAATCCAAAACTTCAGAAATCCTTGTGTTTACAATCTGACTAATTAAGAGGCTCTTTCAGAATACAGACCTGTGGCTTTTTACTATTTTTATTTATTTCCCAGTCCTGCATTGTGGTTAGGAGAGACACTTACTCCCTATTCCCCATGTTTGTAGGTGAAGAGTGTTCCTAAGAGTAACGAGTAAATAACTAATATTTTTCATTGGATCTTGAAATATTAACTATGTACTTTTGCTTAATGAGATGCCAGATGGAACTAAGCTGGAAATTTACGGAAGGCAGTTCTCAGCTATCATATCTGGTATTTTTTTCTCCTTCCAGGCAGACAGTACTTGGGTAAAACAGTATGTAGACACTGAAAATTCCAGTGGTGGGTCACTGACAACTTCCTATGATAAAGAAAAAAAGGCCATGGAAGTGTTTAAGATATGACAATATCTTGAAGACATCTGAATTGTCCACAAGGAATTGAGTGCCTTGGGAAACGACGTGCTGCCATTATTTGAAGGGTTCAAGCCTAGGCTGGTCTGCCACCTGGTGGGATGGGGGGCAGTGGAGGGTGATGGTTAAGAGTTAGAGAATCCAAAATCAGTTCAGGCTCTGTCAGTTACTTGCTGTGTGACTGTGAACAGGTTACCTAACCTCTCCAAACCTGCGGTGCCCTCATCTATGTAGCAGGGATAATCATATGATACACCTCACAGTGTTGTTATGAAAAATAAATGAGACAGCATATGTAGTTCAGTTAGCACTGTGCTTGGCGCATAGTAAACATTCAATAGAAACCGATAATAAAAATAATTATCATAATATCATTATGAGGAGAGAGTCAAGCTGAGGATGGGAAGGTGCCCCACATGACCTTTGAGGCCCCTTCTTACACCACAAGTCTAAGAGTTTATATCCTTCATTGGTGTCTCATTAGAATTAAGGCTATCCTCTGCCTGAAAAGGCACCAATGTGTGTGCGTGTGTGTGTATGTTTAATAAAGTATTAGCAAGCAGTCCAATAAACAGCAGAACGCATATAAAAGATGTTTACAGCAGCCTGCATTTAGTACACATATAGCAGAGGTTTGTGGTTAACTCTAAACATATGACGCCAGTGCCTCACAGGGCCTCTTCCTCACGGAAATGTCAATAGATGAAGAGGATCTGGAAACAAGTTTCCCCCTTAGCACAGTCATCAACAAAGCAAACTGGTGGAAAATCAGTTTACCTCTGTTCCCTATCTTTTCTTCATTTAATGGTTAGAAAGTAGAGTGACATCAAATATCTCAAATGTTTCTACTTTTAGAAGAATTTTATTTTGCAGATAGAGTGCTAGTTGACTGAGTCAAATTCTTCCACGGTAGTGTTAAACTAACTCTTAGGGCTTTTAATACTCTTCTAGAGGCTAAACCAACCATTTAAGACCATTATCATAGAATTAAATGAAAGTATCTTCAATGAAAGTATCTAGGCAGCAAGTACTCTACCAGTTGTCTATCCTGTGGCCCAGAATTACAAGGCTCTAGTTGGTATAACCGGAAAAGTTAAGACCCAGTTCCCAGACTTGAGGGGCCACCAACAAGTCAAATTTCAATAATTTTAATAAGTTACAAACATACGGTGCTCAAGTATTTTCAAAGAACTTTGGATATATTATCTCATATGATCTCTATCACAGAAGATAGGTAAGGCTTATATTTTTATCTTTATTTGAAAGATGAGGGAAAACTTTGAGTTCAGAGATGCTAAGCCCAAGGTCCCATGGCTAATAAAAGACAGAATCAGAACTTAAACCCAAGTTTTTGTCTCAGAATCTAGGACTCTATTGCCCAATACTACTTCTAAAAGAGCCACATTTATGCTCATAGAATAGCCCTGTAGTTAGAGAATGGCATTCAATAAATATTAATTGATGACCTAAGTTTACTGTAATTCAGGACAATATTTTCATGATTAGTTTTAAATTTTAATCAAATTTGAATGAACATTTTTAACTTAGCTGAAAAAAATATTAAATAAAAAGATATATTTTAATACCACCCCATATACAATACCTAAGTCTACAAATACTATGTTGGTCTCTATCCACTGGAACTAGAGTGGATAAATACATCCTTCTGCAACTGCAGTACAGTACACCACTCTTCAATTTCCTGTTTTGTGAAAAAATGACCATGACCTCAGTAAAACCTCAAGAATGACATTAGATCACTTATCTCTGTCACTCTGGGTATCAACAAAATAAATTAAAGTAGTAACTCCATAAATCATCACACACACACACACCACCCTACCCTTTGGTTACAGTACTGCAACAAAACAAGAAAACAGCCTTCTTTTGTCATTTTTCACCAATGAAAGTCTTCATCAGACATGTGCCAAGAAAATTATGCCTTGCCGTACCTGATGTGAATGCAAGAATAGTTTCCTAGGGGTCAAAATGTGCTTTATAATATGAAGAACCTGAAAATGGTCCTCAGCAACATGCCTATTACATAGCAGGTACACAAATACAGGTAAATCATAAATACACATGAATATCCTGGATAAAAGATCATAGAAATATCCTCTACCATGATTTGACTCTCTTAAATCAAATTCAGAAAAAATATATGGGAAATATTGGGTATTTATAAATTGGACAATCACATGGTTAACACTCAAGACAAATATTTCCTATTACATGTACCTACTAAAATGGCACTCACAAGTCAAAAGAAAAATACTTCACACTTTGTTTTCCCTATTATTTTCTTGCTGATCCTGATTAACTATCATTTATTTATAGAGACATAGGATGTCACAGTAGTCAGTATTTTTTACCACCTTTATTCACAACAAGATTCATTGCCCGAGTTGGGGCTAAGTAAGACTATAACTGGCGTGAAATTCCTATGAAATGCATCAACACCGTTGGGATCTCCATATTTTGTGAATTTCAGACTTCCTGACCTGGCCTGCCTAAGCTGGGTCTATCAATTTACCGTTATTATATGAAGCCTGAAAACCAGCCCCAAAGCCTCTTGAATGTAGCTTTTGCTTAAAAATGAGGCTAATAACCATAGACTATACGGGGCCTCAACATTCGTTGGTTGCGATCCATTTTTTTATAACTGGGTGTATTCAAGACATGACATTGTGGTCACTGAACGGTTTCTCTGCTATCGTAACGAGTTCCTGTGGGGATTCCACAGACTCACTTTTGGCACGTGAGGATTGAACTCCACAGCTCTATGAATGGCCTCTACCGCATTCATCTCTGCTGTGCTCAGCCCCCGCCGAGATGCAGCCTCGGGAGAGAATCTGAAAAGCAGAAAGACAAACACCATCCAGTTGGGACCACTGCTTGGGCATCAACCTAGAAAGGCATCTACACAACAAGGGCCCATAAAACCACAGCGAGCCAATGGCATGAGCTCTCCAAACCTCCACTACACGGAACCTCTGAGTGACCCCTCAGATTGAGGCCAACAAAAACCCCAGCAGAAGCAGAGAGCGTGCTTGCATCTAATCGTGGCAGGACAAATTCAGCTGTCAAGTCTCTCTGTCTAAATAGCTAATCTAAATTTTCTACAAGGTACCTGCTTAGGTCAGGAAAGGGGGTAGGACTGACAAGGGCAGACAGTGTAGGAAAAAGAGAAAACTAGGTTACAGAAGAGCGCACTTGGTTAAAAACAGAACTGGGGAAAATTTTAAAGGAGGCTCCCAACCCAATGTCAGTGCTGCGATGGAGGGTTAAGTCGTTGCAGCTTCAGCAGCAGGCGAGCCTGCTTGGGGCCATCCCAGCAGGGGGCGTGTGCATGCCCAAACTGCGGGCTAGACACCTGCCCAAGTGAATGAAAAAAACCAGACCATGCAATCTCTTTCTCACCTCACACCCAGGGCTAACTCCAGAGCTGTGCTTGGCAGGCAGACACCACAGGGGAAGCTGTGACAACCCTGGCCCTGCCCTCCCAAGCTGGAGTCGCTGTGTAGGGAGAAAAGATGTTGCAGTAGGTACTGGCGATCTACAGGATAAAAAAGAATGAAAGAAAATTACTTCGGTCTTGAAGTGCACACACACTTAACAGCAAACCTGTCTGACATAGCAGAGGCTGTTTTCTTTTCCTGTTATCTGCTTTTCAATGCTACAGAGGGACTGTATCAGGGAAGTGCAGACGTTTATGACCTCAGAAACAGTTAAGCCATCTATTATCTTTCACCTGCCAGTTATCTTGGATGTTGATGAAAATTCTCTATGCCATAGTCACCTGCCTGAATAAAATGGGCAAATGTCCCACTGAGATGGAGACTCAGAGTAAACAGATCCTGGGTGGGGAGTTAGTTTGGAATTCATGAGGCAAAGAATGGGAGATGACCATCCCCTCTGCCATACTACATGTTTGTTACAACTCTACCCAGTTGTGGACTGCTGAAGGAAGAGGACTACGCCAAAAAAAAAAAAACGAATAAAAGGAAGGCATTTTGTGTAAGTCCCAAGCAGGCCTTTTGGTATCTACTGTCTGGCAAAAAAAAAAAAAAGTCACCTCAGAGGCACAGAATTTCATATAACTCCCTCTTTAGGGACCCATATACCCTTACAATACCTGGGGATACACATTCCCTTCTTCTAGTAGTGAAAGAAAAGATCAGCAGGTTTTGGAAAACGCATGCTTATAAGCAGGGGTCTCACAGACTAAGAGAAACTTCCAGAGAAAGCCCTCAGAGACAACACATCTCCTTAAGTCGGGTCAAGCATTTAGAACCACACAAGTTATTATTCACTTACTTGTCAGAAACAGCTCTTGCTTTGAGCAAGGCAGCTGTGTAGCATATTGTTGCCGACTTTGGTAAGCTTATATCTGTCAGAGAAAAAGAAAGTAGGAACTCCTGTAAGTTTGCAGAAACAAAGAGCAATGATTTTTAATACACTAGCATTTTAATCATGTAAGTCTAAAAAAGCATAAATTAAGAATATTTTAATGCGTACAGTACACAGCTCCTCCTTACATATCAGGGTGCTATGTGAAACTAAGGATAATTCATATTTTGTAAATAATTCATGTTTAAAATCCACCAGACTAACTCTTCAGCAATCATCTTCTATTTTAAAATACAGATTTTCATATGCTGAGTTTAAGCAGAGAATAGCTATAAATACATAAATTTAAATATTACATGAATACCCTTAATATCATGAAAGGCAGATAGGACCTCTTTGTCACTTATAAAAATTTCTCACCAGGCAAATGAAATACTAATGTGAAGAAAAAATATTACCTGGATTTTTTTTTTTTTTAAACACAGCTAAGTAAATTATTCTTTAGCGGTCAAGATTTAAACTAGATTTCCTTTCAATTAAATTTCAAGAAGTTCATATTCAGTGTTTTGTTAAAAATGTAACACATATTATACATATATAATAGAGAAATCTTTTTATATATTTATAAGGATATATATATATATATATGAAATCTTTAGAAAACTGTACAAGTTTTGTTCATTCAAACCCATGGTAAATCCCCTTTCATATGAAGCCCAATTTGTTACCCAGAAAAACAGTTCCTCTCAGTTTGTATAGAAAATTCAGATGGAAAGGCAGGAATGGGTACCAGATTAAGATAATGAGTTTACAGGGAAATAAAAGTACAGGGTACAACCGAATAGTAGATAATATCAAAGAGGGTAATCCCATTGGGGGGGAAAATTTGTTTTTAAATTATGATTCTATTTCTTACCAGAAGAGTATTTCTTTAACACTCAACCAAATTTATACTATGACATAGAAATACCTTCTTAATTCAGACCAGGTAAAAATATGCCCTTCCCAGTGCTGCAAAATTCACTCTAGGTTAGAGGAACTCAACACCTGGAATGCCCTGCAAGTTTCTTCGCAGGGCTGTTTTCAACTTAGAAAGAATTACATTAGAAAGAATGAAAAGGAAAGTCCTGTAATTAGCCAATAGACAGCAACGGAAGAAAATAATTTCATAAAAGAAAACCACTCCCTCATCTAATAACAAGTATTTACTATCAATTCCAGCATGAGGAATTTCTCTGAGGGAAACTTCAATGACATTGATAAAACACAAATAATCATAGAAAATACCAACACAGAATCGAAAGGGAAAGAGGTCTTTGTAACCCTGATCTCATAAATTATATTCAAACAAAATTTCATCACCTATGCATAGTATAAAATAGTGTGCTTATGACTAAGAAAAAAAAAAAAAAAAAAAAAGAATGTCAGACACTCATGGACTTGTTCTTGCTTTTCCAGCATCTAAACATTTAACCACTTCCCAGAGTGGAATCTCAATCTAGGAATCAAATATCTTCTTTGCTAGGGTCCACTCATTAACTGTTATTGGAAGATAATAAAAAACTGCAGACAATACACATTCTACTTAAAAGTTCAGACCTTTTATTCAAAAATTATCCAAGTCTTATTTTCATCCTTCCTAGTGTGATCTGTGTTCCTTCAGTGTCAATCCAGCACCTTTCTATGAAGAGGGGACCAATGAAAAGTCCTAGAAAGAAGTTGAGGCTAAAAACAATGGTCATAATATTTGAAGGTGGCAGCACAAGGTGGAGCCTCACTTCATAAACTAAAGAAAATCTGTTGTTGAGGATTCAGCTTCTCAATGAGAAAGATCACACTGTTTTTGATGGTTACCAAATCAAACAAAGAGATACATTTTCCCAGTTGGAAATGCAGAAAAAGATACAACTGAGGTATTCCAGCAGAATAATAGAGATGCCTAATCAAGCGTGATCTTTAATCCAGACCCAGGCCCTCTCACACCCACAGATAGGACATTCACAACTAGAAAGATGCAACAGAATTCTGCAACATTATGACTACTATAGTACATTTTCCCCCTTTAAAAAAATTTTTACCTCTACTCCTTCATTGTATGTAAAGATGGTAGTATATGTGCACAGTCATAATGCTTAAAAAATAAATAACCAAAAATATATTTTAACCAATATCAAATGGGGAAAGGAGGAAATGTAAATACCCCATTCCCCATGACTGGTGTGTTCATGCTATTTGTTATCTTTTTACTCCAGTAAATTACTTTGCTCTCATTGTTTAAAAAAAAATAGCAAAAAATTCTTGCATAACTTGTTTATTTAGATATTTTCAATTTTTTCTTTTAATTCTGTCACAGCAATACATCTATTTGGTAATGGCAATTTGTCTCTAAGTAGGGATGAATCACTCTAAAGAAATTGATCCTAAATTTCCCTTCAGGTAAAGCATCTTGTTCAAATAAGGTTTTTGTATACAATATATTTTTTTAAATGATTCTTATCTTTGGCAATATAAATCAAAAGCTTTAACATTTTGCCTACCAACAATTCCACTTTTGAGACTTTATCCTAAGGGAAATAATCATGACTGTGCATGAAGATTTAGCCTTAAGGATGTTGATCACGACATTGTTTCTAATGATGGAAAACTGAAAACAGCCTAAATGTCCAATCACAGGCGATTGGTTAAGGTGCTGTATATACACAGGGTGCAATTCTATGCAGTCATTAAATCATGCAGTGGAAAAGTATTGAACGACCTAGGGAAATGTTGCATTGTTGGGCACACATCAATAAGTAAAACAAGTTTACAAAAGTATGATTTCATATATTTTTTAAAAAGCATTTATATGCATAGAGATAAAAACACTGGAATTATTTATACCAAATATCAATAGTGTTTATTCCTGGGTGGTAGAATTATAGGTGATGCTTGTCTATTTTTTATCTTTATTTCCAAAGCTTCCTGTAATGTACATGTAATAAGTGAATTTTTAAAAGATAACAATGATGCTAAATGGAAGACTTCTCTTCTACAAATTGTCTGAAGCAAGTTCATGGGCAAATATATTGGTGGAGCCAGACATCGACATAGACAGAGGTAGAACTTACATGAAGTGCTGTCAGCCCGCAGATCTATCAGATATATTTACATACCTTTATAAAAGTTAGGGTTGTTCCTTCTGCAGTGCACACTCATTAACTATATTTCAATCTAATAACTGCCTAACATCTAAGTCAAGGGCAGGAACTGCATATTTTGGATCAATTTTAAGAAAAACCCATATGCATTACCTTTAGGAGAAAGCTAATTATTATGGGTTGCTTGCCCCATGAGCACTCCCTCTTTTATTTCTTTAAAAAAAAAAAAAAAGGCTGAGACTTGGTTGTTGTTGCCTATTATATTTTTGAAATTTATTATTCTGAAATAATTATAGGCTCACAGGAAGTTGTGAAAATAGTACACAGAGTTCTGTGAATGATTCCCTCAGCTTCCTCCAATGGTGACATCTTACGTAACTGTAGTATAACATCAAAAACCAAAAAATTGACATTGGTACAGTACTATTAAGTCAATTACAGACCTTGTTCAGTTTTCACCATTTTTTACATGCATTCATTTTGTGTGAAGTTCTACGCAATTTTATCCCATGGCTAGGTTCAGGTAACCACCACCACCATCAAAATACACAACTGTTCAAAGGAACTCTCTCGTGCTTCCCCTTTATTTGTACCCTCCCCACCCATACCTGTCCCCTGGTGATCACTAATCTGCTCTTTATCTCTGTAGTTTTATCTACCTACTATGGTTTTATGCTTTCATCACTAGGAAAATGGATAAAATGATAAGGGAAACAGAGTGGCAAACTGTAGTGATGAAAATGGTGGTATCAGAAGTTTTGAGCAGGAAATAATAAATTGCTTGTAATTTATGCAGAAATTTTATTTTGAGGAAAAGGATCTCAAAATCATTCTAAGTCCGATTTTCTATGGACAGATTCACAATGCAGTGCCTTTCTGTCTTTTGTAAGTGGCATGTAGCTACCATTATTACCGGAAAGTCCCCTGAAGAATTAGAATCAAGAAGGAAACAAAAGCAAAGCAAATAATGAGACATCACATAATTCCATTACCCACTGCAGAAACAAAGAATGCTAAATGTTTCTCACTTAAGCAAAGATGAACTGCTGGTGTTAGTTTAATTTTCCTTCCACTTCTTTGCCATCTTGTGTTTCATACAGGTCCTCTTCTGAAAGGGGAACAACTTTCTCCAAGCATCTTAGGCATGCAAAATCAAATTATCATGAAACTCTTCTATTAAAATCTACAATCTTGAACTTCATACAATTGGAATCATAGAGTATGTACTCTTTTGTATCTGGCTTCTTTCACTCAGCATGATGTTTCTGAGATTCATCCATGTTGTAACATGTATCAATACTTCATTCTTTTTTATTGCTGAGTAGTATTTCATTGTGTGGATATACCACAACATGTTTATTCTCTTGCTAATGCTATTTGGATTGTTTCCAGTTTGGGGTTATTGTGAATAAAGCTGTTGCGGTCATTCTTGTGTAAGCTTTTTCTAAAAAAAAGTAAATAAATAAACTCATTTCTCTTGGATATATAACCAGAAATATATATATAAATAACTGAGTCAGGAGGTAGATGTATGTTTAAACGGTAAACAGTGCTCTAAAGTGGTTGTATGAAGTTTACAAAACTAATATATGGTGATAGGGGTCAGAAAAATTGTTACTTCTGGGTTGAAGGGCAGTTATTGGCAGAAGGGGATATGAGGCAACCTTCTGAGATGATGGAAAGTTCTATGATCCTGGGTGGTAATCACACGGGTGTATACATAAGTGAAAAGTCATCCAGCTCCACACTTAAGATTTGTAAACATTACTATATGTAATTTATATCTCAATAAAATAAGATTTAAAAAAAAACAAACCTTCAATCCTGTGCCACCTGAAGCTGTCTTCTCTCACTTCAATCTAACCTCCATAACATTTTACTTGCCTTATATCATTCTGGCCCC